GTCATTGGATAATAAAAATGCAACTCTTAAAAGAAAAGAGATTGAAAGTGAGGTGGTGGAAAAAGAACCTTTTAACACATCTGGGCATCTTCACAGAACCAAGATGTCAAAAGTTGACACGGGAAGTTTTGTCGGAGAGGCCCCTCCAAATAATCTCCCTCGCAGGGGCCTTGGGAGCAGGGGTAAAAACATAAAAGCTGTCATGAATGAAGATGATCAGCCGGCAAATTTGGCAAGTGCAACATCTCATCAGCTTCCTCCTTTATCCTCTGAAAGGCCTGTCCACGAAGGTACCTCTGGATCTGAGACTAGAATCTCTTCCTATGTCCGACATCTCTCCCATAATGGATCGATTCAGGATAAGTCAGACTTTGAAATTCTCACCGAGCAGCAAACAACAAGCTTAACCTTCAACCTGGTCTCTGACTCTCAAATGGGAGAGATATTCAAGTGTCTTTTGCAAGGGTCTGATTTGCTTGAATCCAGTGTTCCCATAGGCGACAATACAAGTTGGCCACTCGGCACACCTCGAAAGGAAGGACTTCCAGGGGAGAGTTTGATTGGGATTATGACCCCTAATAAGACAACCCCATCTAAGTTCCTCACATCCTGGCCTTCCATTTCCCCCTACAAGTTTGCTTCAAATAGCAAAATGCTGGTAGACCCAGCAATTCTCGATGAGAGCTGCTTGTTAGAAGTTCCCTCTAATTCTGAACCATGCCAGCTTTCTCTTCATTCAACTGTAATCCCGCAGAAATCGTACTCTATCTTGGCGGAAGATCTAGCCGTGTCCCTTACCATTCCCTCACCACTAAAGTCAGATAGTCACTTGAGTTTCTTGCACCCTGGACCTGGACAGCCACTGTCTGCCCCAAACAGTGGCCTGAGTGCCCATTATAGCGAAGATGCTCTTCTTGACGGAGAAGATGCCACTGAGCAGGACATACACCTTTCTCTGGACACCGACAACTCCAGTTGTGGGTCGAGTCCCAGCAGGACATGGGAGGGCTCTGATCCACCCTGTTTCCAATTCCAACCCAATTTACAAATGCAGGCTGTGGTAATGGAGAGGTCAAATGATCATTTCGTTGTGCGAATAAGAAGAACATCATCTGGCCCAATTGAAAGCAATCAAAATGAAGGGAAAGCAGCACCAGAATTAGCTGAATGCCCAGAGACGATTCTTAAGCCTAATCTCACTCTGACCCATCAAGACTTGGGTTCCGCACCTGGAGAGACGTCGAACAAAATCCCAACTAAGGTAAACGAGTCATGTCACATTTCAGATAAAGCAATAGAAGCTCAACCATCAAGCCAAAAATCCTCATCTGGAGGTGTTTGTGATGACAACTCATCCCGCAACAATGCTGAGCCTGATTCAAAAGCATGTGCTATTGAGGAAAGTAGTACAACAGAGACTGAAACATCAGAGGGGGTTTCAGGAAAAGTAAAGAACGCCATACAGAGCTCAAGCGCACCAGAGTCTGAATCTGAGAGGGTGTCAAGGAAACGCAAGGAGCACAGATCAGCAACAAAGGCAAAGCGCCAAAAAGTAGAGAAATCTCAAGATAAACATTCTAAGCCCAGGCATAAGAAAAGGTCAAAATCCTCCAAAGAAAAAGACTCCAAAATTGCAGTACCCCAGGTGTCCCCTAGCAACCTGTCTGCTAAGAATGTAATCAGGAAGAAAGGGGAGGTAGTGGTGACGTGGACCAGGTGAGTTGATAGAATTAATACCAAAACGGGTGTACAAAAATACACATTAAGTCAAAGCAACCAATTAATAAGCTAATGTCTTTTGAAGGGATGAAGATCGGGACATACTCATTGAGCTTAAAATGAAGGGCACTTCACCCAAGACATTTGCTGCTCTTTCGAAAAGGCTAAAGAAGTCAACAGAGCAGGTATGCTTCACTATTGTGTTCTTATAAATATGAAGTAAGTTAAACAGCTTTGTTATAAATTATTGATTGATATTTTTTGACAGATTGAGGAGCGATTCTCTCAACTGATGAAGCTGTTCAAGAAGAAAGAGAAAATGGAGAATTGATTGAACGACAAAAAGATTGAACTGACTTTATAATGGATGCTGATGCACTTATCAAAATCTCCATAGACTCCATAGGCAGAAATATAATACGCTGAATCTGAAAATCAGTGTATTATTTCTGTTGATGTTCATCTGTTTGAAAAAAGCACTTACAGTTTGCCAAAAGATCTGCAGTAAATGGTATAATCCGTTTTAGAGGCTTTTTTTTAGCTAACATTCAGTGTTATCAGATTACCAAAATTCATAATCAGAGCAGACACCAATTAGGCTACATTTTTATTACCTAGAGATATATTTGCAATGTGGTATGCTCTGAAATTGACCTTAATCCTTGTCAAGGACATAAACAGACACAACAAAGTAGAGAAATGACGGTTCATAGTATTTTCAGTGCATAAAGCCCTGTGCGATGCCATACAATTGACTTGTTTTGGCAAGTTGGTGATTGCAAAAAGTAGTACAGTTACTGTTTTGTTGATGCTGACAAATTTTTATGCAATGAAATTAACAAAACAATTTAAGTATTCGAAGGACATCACTAACTTGTATTACAAGTTGACTTTTGCAGCGCCTTTGAAACCTACCTCTGACCTCATGTTTTGATCACTTAATTTTTCCCTCCTTTTGTTTTGTGTATGAGGTTGGTGTTGGAATAGCATGGCTCTAAATGTGGAAATGGAAAGAATATTTGCTTGTTTATTTGTTTTGGTCCTCAATTGTCAGACTTTGAGTTTAAAATCTTTTTCATTAGTCATCCTGATAAATGCAGCTTGATATTTTCATATCAAGAGTAACATGTTTTTGTTGTTTTATAGGTAATGAGTAAGGAAATTGTTCCCTTGTGTATATATTTGTAAAGTTTAATTGAACTGAAAGATTTTTATGTTTGAACTCTTTTTAAACTATTTTATTTTTCTCAAAGAGAGAAACCTAGATGTGGGGAAAATACATTGTATGTTGTTTGGAAATACATTTTGTAAATATTTGTAACTTCTGACAGACCTCTCAAACTTTCGAAATAAAGCTTATTTAAATTTCATGTTTATTTTGAGAAGAATATTTCAGTTTCTAAACTGCATTCTTAAATGCATAATCTTCAATGATTTGTAGCTCTTATTTTGGATTAGTAATTCAAAATTTAAAAAAAATGTATATCACGGGATTAAATAGAGCCGCCTTTGTAGAACCAAACAGTATCGGGAAGTTTGTAAAATGATACTGATTTAGATGCAACAAAAAACAAGGGCAAACAAATGATTTTTAATTTGAATAATTTTTCAATTAATATTAACCAACTGGTGGTTGATGGTTTTAGTAGATGCTTGAAATCCCTAAATAACTTATCACCATAATATTTAGGCTTACTATTACAGTTTGTAGCACAGGGGGTATAAATGCAGTTACTGAACAATTCACAGCTCATTGACAATACTATGGTCCAGGCACAAGTGGCATATTTAGGTCACAGTCTGGCAGTTGTTAACCTTACTTCACCTCTGAAATCCAGATCTAACTTCTGTCCACACTCATGTAACCTGTAAGACTTGAGTGTGCTAGTACAAAATATATTTATAAAAGTTTTAAATGTATAAAAGTTCATTTAGTTTTTAGCCATTTCTAAAATTATATGTGATAATTTCTAGACTCAGATTACAGCTGAATTCATACAACTAAAATTCTTAAAATTCAAGTATATGAACACTATAATATTTTATATATATAATTTTAAAAACATTATAAAAGGTAAAACACACATATAGGCCTACTGTAAGTAAATGAGCTTCAGCTGGCAGGCTGTAATTAAATCTCAACATTGTGCCTAGTGAAGTGTAATTGGTTACGTGAAGCTGAACAGTATCCACTTGTTGAACTCTGCAGTTAATTACATATATCTTATTTCTAAGCGATTAACAGCTGGCTCACATTCCAGAAGGTAGTTTTCAGCTACCCTCTCATTACATCACTCAGACTACAGAAAACTAAAAATAGCCCTTCAAGCGTTTGACTATGAAATTGGACATGTCTCATTGATCATCATGTCTCGCCTAAAAACAAAGGCTGTATTAATGGAATACTGACTTTTTGCTTACTAAATACTGCACAATAGACACTGTACACTGCATATTATTTTTCAGAATTAGTGAATAAGTTTATGCAACAATAAATGTTTCAAGAAGCAGTGCGCTAAAATAAAATATGTAAAAATGCCTTCAATTTTGGTAGTCATTTGGTAGTCAGTATAGCCAATACCGAGATGCGTTCAGATTTTACAAGTATTCATTATTAATTACCTAAACTATCGATACTTTGGCATATTTCCACACAGGTCATGGGGTATTTTGGGATTGTTGCTAATATGTTCCCCCTGACCCGCCCTCAACAGTTGTGATGCAAGTTAGCCCCTCAGGGTACCGTCCAGCCTACAGATCGATAGCAAAAATAGCCCTTCAAGCGTTTGACTATGAAATTGGACATGTCTCATTGATCATCATGTCTCGCCTAAAAACAAAGGCTGTATTAATGGAATACTGACTTTTTGCTTACTAAATACTGCACAATAGACACTGTACACTGCATATTATTTTTCAGAATTAGTGAATAAGTTTATGCAACAATAAATGTTTCAAGAAGCAGTGCGCTAAAATAAAATATGTAAAAATGCCTTCAATTTTGGTAGTCATTTGGTAGTCAGTATAGCCAATACCGAGATGCGTTCAGATTTTACAAGTATTCATTATTAATTACCTAAACTATCGATACTTTGGCATATTTCCACACAGGTCATGGGGTATTTTGGGATTGTTGCTAATATGTTCCCCCTGACCCGCCCTCAACAGTTGTGATGCAAGTTAGCCCCTCAGGGTACCGTCCAGCCTACAGATCGATAGCAGCATTGTATGAGTTCAATGCACAGAGAAACTGGACTTCATTCAACAAAGCGATGTTCACAGAAGAGTACTAAATACTCCCACGAGGGGGAAAGGATACTGGAGTTGTATTATATTGTTTTTGTGTGATGGACTGATGCAGCAAGTGTTCTGTGAATACCACAAAAATGTAAGTTTCCCTTTATAACTGGATGTGTAGTTAATCTAACATTTTTATGTGACCTAGTCTATCTATCTATCTATCTATCTATAATTTCCTAGAGATTTATAACCTTCACTCTTCCAGTTTTAGGCCATGCGAAAATGGGAGATTGGAACTTGCTAGGGAGCATCTTGGAGGAGGTTCACATTCACTCCACCATTGTGGGCAAAATCTGGCTCACCATTCTTTTCATTTTCCGTATGCTCGTGCTCGGGGTTGCCGCCGAAGACGTGTGGGACGATGAGCAAAGTGAGTTTGTGTGCAACACAGAGCAGCCTGGATGCAAGAACGTCTGCTATGACAAGGCGTTCCCCATATCCCTCATCCGATACTGGGTCTTACAGATTATTTTTGTCTCCTCACCTTCTTTGGTGTACATGGGACACGCACTGTACCGGCTACGGGCACTGGAGAAAGAGCGCCACAAGAAAAAAGCTCAACTGAAGGTGGAGCTGGAGGAGACGGAGGCTTTGGAGGAGCACAAAAAGATTGAGAAGGAGCTTAGGAAGCTGGAAGAGCAGAAGAAAGTGAGGAAGGCTCCTCTGAGGGGTTCCTTGCTGCGCACATATGTGTTGCATATCATAACAAGGTCAGTAGTGGAAGTGGGATTCATAGTGGGTCAATACGTGCTCTACGGTATCGGACTATCGCCGTTATACAAGTGCGAGCGTGACCCCTGTCCCAACAGCGTGGACTGTTTTGTTTCACGGCCAACGGAGAAGAACATCTTTATGATTTTCATGCTAGTCATTGCAGGGGTGTCCCTGTTCCTCAATTTCCTGGAGATATTCCACCTTGGTGTGAAACAGATCAAGCAGGCCATTTATGGATCCAAGTACATTGGAGATGAAGAAAGTATTTGCAGGTCAAAGAAAAACTCCATGGTCCAACAAGTATGCATCCTTACCAATTCCTCACCACAAAAACGTATGCATTTGACGCACACTTCCCTCGCGGTTGTGCCCGATGGACAGACAGCACCCATGCCTCTATATATGCCAATGGCTGCTAACAGTGACACTAATGGATCTGAGCAGCCCCTCAGGCAGAACCGTCTTCCTAGCCAGCCTGAATTTCAGGCTCTCCAACAGTTGGGAGCAACAGAACGACGACCCACTTTAGACAACCGTCCGCACTCCTGCAGCAGCGAGGAGTCTGGGCCCAAGGGCTCTGGACCGCCCAAGAACATCGGTCAGCAGCCCAGAGCTTCACTCAGAGCCAGTAACATAGAGATACCAGCAGCATTACGGAAACAGAGCCGAGTCAGTCAATGTAAAGACTTCAGCGAGGAGAGCGATTCCCAGGAGAGCGGGAACTACCCCACTGCCAGGAAAGCCAGTTTCATGTCGCGAGGGCTTTCAGAAAGCTCATCCGAAAGTGCAGCCTCCAAAAGTGGATCGGACACAGAGGCCAACCGTATAGCTCAAGGGGAGAGTCCAGCTACGACACCCCCTCCTGCCACTGGTCGCAGAATGTCAATGGTGAGTAGAAAAACACACTACTGATTATTCACTTGTTGAGTTGTGATGAAACGAATACTGTTTCTTCCACTCAAGTGGGTTTCAAGTGAGAATACTACCTCGACAGCCATTGAGCACTATGAGCACTTTACGCTTTTAAAAACTCATGGTGTACAGTCTCTGGACTGATGGTGTCTTGGACACCACCACTGTCTAAAAAGTTAGTTATTTTTTTGGTAGTGCTTCAATACAGAAGAGTGTATATTAGCACCATTTGTTGTATGTTTTTGGGGTCTGATAGTGTTTGGACCCAGAAACTGTGACAAGTGATGTCAGACTTAATAGCCAGGTACTAGTTACGAACAGTGTCATCACTTTGTCAACAAAATCATAAACATGTTTGGTATTTTGAAAAAGAAAAAAATGTTAAAAAAAAAAAAAGAAAAGAAAAATGCTCATCATAACAGTAATTAGACAACAAGGGCAGTATTCAAGTTACATCAAATGCCTGTTTAATTTTGCACTTTTGTAAGGGACTACAATGCTATTTTCATCAAAAAAAGAAAAGTTGTTTTAGCCAGAGTAAAATACATTATAATTAAAAATGACAAAAAACTGACAATCAATCAATCAATCAATAAAACACCAACCCAAGTGTGAAACATTTTGTTTTAATTTTGTGTGGGCAAAGTGCACCTATGTTAGGACAGAGTATACATTCTAAATATTGATATCTAGGCTAATGATTCATTCAGTAAATATTAACAATTTCTCTCTCTTTTCAGAGCATGATTCTGGAACTGTCTTCAATCATGAAAAAGTGACATTTTGGAGTTTGAAGTATCAGCTGTCCTCTGAGCAGATAGCAATGGGATGGATATCGCGGTGCATTCCTTGGCTTAATTTTCATTGACTCCATAATTACTGCAAACATTATGATTACACATTAAAGTAATTTAACCGACTTATACTGTAGAGCTACTCTCAACAAACGCTTAAAATAAAAGAAAGCATTTTTAACACACCTCTTTTCAGTGCTTGTAGCATTTCTGGTTTTCATTAACAGTGTTTAATAAGAACATGAATTGTGCTGTGACATTTTGCATATGAAATCTATGGCTAAGCTCAAAGAGCAATCAATGGATATCTATAACATAAGTCATTCTTTAAAAATGCGAATTGACTAATGACATTTCATTGACAATAATTAGGCATACTCTTTTGTACAATTTATAGATAGTGGTGGATATCATCGGATATGTTTTTGAATCAGTCAAGATTTAAGGGCTTTCATTTTTTTCTTACTTTTCTTTAAAGTACGCATGAAATCAAAATTGACTTTATTTACTTTACTAGCGCACATTGTTAGTCTTGATGTAAACAATTATTCCGTGCAAGATAATCCGCTGAAAAAAATTGTTTGTCTTCGTAATCTTTAATCAAAATCTGAACATTTACTTCTGCTCTGGAATGGCATTCCTTTTCTGATGACATCAGTTTGACGGCTTGGCAGTATATGCTTAAACACACCCCTCCAACCGTTAGATTGCTATGAGTGAGCGACAGAGAGGAGGAGCGCAAACACAAAACCATGCCCTCTATTCAATATTCCGTTTCAGATGGAAATACGTCACTACACTGAAATAAAGTCGGCAGCAACTTCCGGTTCACGCGGACTTTAAAGTCTTGTAAAAACAAGACATTTTTAGCAAATGGCAATCCCTACTGTGAAATAAAGTGCTTTTGTATTCACAGCGATATTATTATTAGAACTTTGGCTGTCTTTCTCCAAAATGTAATACTTAATTCTTAATATTTATTAAACAAAATATCTCAAATCCGTCCACTGAAGCAGATGAGTTCAGAATGAGAATGTGCTCTACTGCCATCTGGTGGTGAACTTCATATTATAAAAATGTTTGACATTTAACACTGTTTAAACCTCATGTGATTATAGTATGTTGACCTAATACATGTATTTTTTAACGCACTACTGATTAAAGTTAAGTTTCCACTAGTGGGAGCAACATAGATCTACTAACAGATTTCAGGAAATTGGCTCACCCAGGCCTCATTAACATATCAATATATGCTAAATTTAGTCAGTCCCTACTGGTTTGATATTCAGTTTTCTTTTGGCTATAAATACGCAGCGCGCTGTCATAGACATGCAAATAATACCGAATATCATTCTCCGTGATTTGTGAATTCAGGTGACGCTGTCCTTCGGGCCGAAATCAGGTTTTTTTTTTCGTAGCGTCTCTTAATTTTATAATGCCTATAGCGCCAAAAGTTGGACACTTTAGAGGAATGAAACTGGTGTCAATTTCACCAGCTTGATTTGTGAATTTTTTCACAGTTCTTGTCCGTAAACCCCTTGGTAAGTCCGCTATAAGGAATGTGAAAAATAGGCGTTTTCCAAACCATTAGATAAATCATACACGGCTCTAATAGACTATTATGATTTGTGTAATCTTTCACAATATAAAGGTTTGGTTGTTTTACCTTACCTTTTATGAGTCATTGGCTTCTATTTTCTGTTTTGCTAAAGGTTTCAGAGTATAGTTTTTGTCATTTAACCCTTCCCTGAGTCCTTAACTTAACTATTCTGATCTGTGGTAACTTTCAGAGGTAAGTACGGGTCAGCTGACCCTTCCCTGAGTCATGTACATCACTATTCTGATCTGTGAAAACTTTCAGAGGTAAGTACGGGTCAGCTGACCCTTCCCTGAGTCATGTACATCACTATTCTGATCTGTGAAAACTTTCAGAGGTAAGTACGGGTCAGCTGACCCTTCCCTGGGTCAGTAACATCACTATTCTGATCTGTGAAAACATTTACAGTTCAGTTTGGGTCAGCTGACTCTTCCCTGAGTCACTAACATCACCATTCTGATCTGTGAAAACTTTCACAGTTCACTACGGGTCAGCTGACCCTTCCCTGAGTCACTAATTGCACTTTTCCACTGCATGGTACGGCACGGTATGGCTCGGTACGGTTCACTTTTGGGGGGTTTTCCACTGGGTACAGTACCTGGTACCTGGTACTTTTTTTAGTA